ACTGTCCGAGCCAGAGCCACGGATTCGGCCAGTCCGTCGGGCCAGAAGTCGCCCAAACGGCCGGTCTGCCCTCGGCCAGTCTGCTTCAACAGGCCGTCGGCATTCTCACCGCCCTTCGCATGACTCAAAACAAGACGTCACAATCACAATCACAATTACAATCACAATTACAATTACAATCACAATCTCAATCACAAATACATTCGCAACCGCAGTCGCCAAATTCGTTCGCGGCGCCACCCAACGTCTACGCGGGCCAGACTTTCGGTTGTCAAGCGTCTCCGATCGCCTACGAGCCGTCGCTCGGGCAACAGAGTCCGTTGCGGCCGGTCTTCGCGAGCGGCATGCTGAAAGCGCTCCAGACAACCGGTACCTCGGGCCTGCCGTCGGCTTGCACGCCGCTGCTCGAGACCGCGGTCCGTCAGGCCCTCACCGACTGTCTGCCCGGACTCGACTTCCGTCTCCAAGGCCATCTGCTGGTGACGTGTCGCCGCCTCGGGCCGCACGACGGCCTCGAACCCGCCGGCACGTTGCTGCGTTTCGAGGACCTCGCCGCCTCCGCTTTCCCTCCACCGCCCGCGCCCGCGCCCGCATTCGCCATCGCCCCCCCCGTCGGACACGGTTACCCACGCAACGCACAGCCGGGCATGTCCGGCCTCGACGTCACCGCTCCGCCATCGCCCACGCACTTGAACTCGACGTCGACGTCGACGTCGACCTCGTTGTCCTCCTCCTCCTCCTCCTCCTCCTCTTCCGCCTCTTCCTCTTTCACGTCGTCGTCACGACGAAAACCGACGCACCCTTGCAAGTTGGTCACTCCGAGCAAGAGCGCCGTGGCGACAGGTCAAGTCGACGGCGAGACTGACGCCTTGTTCGACACGAACGGCGAGGCGAACGGCGACGGCGACGGCGACGGCGACGGCGATATCGGCTTTTCGGCGCAGGCCACGCGGTCGGGCGTCGCGTTGACCGCGTCGGCGCCGACCAGCCCGTCAGCCGACTCGGGCGTGCTCGACCTGTCGCGAGCCGGTTCACTGGCCGGCTCTGCGCCAATCACGCCGTTGAAGGGCGTCGCCTCGAGTCCCGGCCTCGCGCCTCTCGACTCCGCCTTCGGGCCCCCCCTGCCCCCCCTGCCCGCCGCGGCCGACGCCGCGCAGGCCAACTTCAACCTGCTCGAACTGTACCATCGCCAGCTGGTCGTCGGCCCCAGCCCCGCCCCCTGCCTCAACGTCTACTCAACCCCCCTCGCCTGCCCCCCCTCGACTGGCCATCTTCTCAACACTTTCAAGGTCATCTCCAATCTCGCCTCCACCTCGCACCCATCGCAACTGGCGCCCCACTCCCCGCCCGACGCCCAAGGCCGATCGCCCCTCAAACTGCCTCTCCCCCCCGTCCCACCGCCCCTCTCGGCCGTCTCGACTCCGTCAAAGACGACGCCAACGTCAACGCCAGCCTCGACGCCCACGCCGACACCGACACTGACACCGACGCCAACTGGCACACCGACAGCCTTGTCGACACCGCGTCGGTGTCGTGTCACCTCGTGTGAGCCCAGCAACAAATCGCGACGCATGCACACACCCACCGACGTCATCATCAACACCACCAACACAACCGGCAACACCAACATGAACACACTTGCAGCTGCCGCCGCCGCTGCCGCCGCCGCCGCCGCCGTTTCTGTGGGTCGGTTGGCGTCGCGACGTCACAATTCATCGCGTCGTTTTCCCTGCAACCAATGCCGTGAAGAGTTTCCCTCGTTGCACGCTCTGGAACAGCACACGCTGGCCACACACGGCACGTACCGTTGCCACGTGTGCCGGGCGCAGTTCACACAACGCTCCAATCTGCAACGACACGCGCTGAAACACGTCGGCTTCAAGCCGTTCGAGTGCCGCGTCTGCTCCAAGGCCTACTACCGCAAAGACCATCTGATGCGTCACATGGAGATGGGCCATCCGGGCTTTGCGCCCCGCGACAACATCACCGTCCATCTTACGTCGTCCGAGAGCCTCGAGTTCCTCAACAAATCCGGCTCCACTCGCTCCACCGGCAAGGCTACACCGCCGCCGCTTTTGCTCGCCGATATCGCCAACTACGACGTCGCCGTGGCGACCAACGACACTCCGATGGAGACCGAGCACGAGCAGGCAGTGGACAGCCGTCAGGTGTGTCTTCAAGGCGGTGCCGGTGGCGATGAGGTCAGAGGTCAACAACAGTCGCACGAACTGACGCGCATGAAAGACAAGATGGAGGTGGACGAAATCGAGGCAGAAGAGGCAGAGGAGGATGAGGAGGAAGAAGAAGAAGAAGAGAACGAGGATGAGGAAGAAGAAGAAGAAGAAGAAGAGGAGGAGGAAGATGACGATGATGATGATGATGATGAGGAGGAGGAGGAGGAAGAGGAGAGCAAATTCATGTCGATACAAACGGAAGAGGAGACCTTCGAAGTGGCGCCAGCAGACAGCGGCCTCGTGACGGGTGACATGAAAAGGGTGCTCAACTCGGCCGGCGTTGCGCAGATTGGCAAGCCTCTTTTGTCCGATTCTCTCGTCAGCCTGACAGCTTGACACACTTTGTGCATCTCCAACAAGTCACCGGTGATAGATGATATCCTCGCCCACCACACACGCTCTCTCTCTCTCTCTCTCTC